GTTTGGGTCTGTGGAGTTAAAGGAACATTAAGACATGCAAGGAAACTTCTCAGGGGACAGATTAATATGGGGACCTGAGTGAGGAGAGAGGGAAAAAAGGGAGTTTGTCTGCACGTGTCAGAGGGGTGTTACTGCTCTGTGAGAAACGAGACAAGGGTGGAGTCTTGAGCAGTCCAGGTAGTTGAATGTGGTTGTTGGGGGATGAGGGACCTGCAAAGTACTGGAGAAGGAATCAGAGAAGTACCAGATGCCTTGATGTTGTGTGCACCAGACAAATAGTCTAAAGACACTGCAAGGTGGCAGGTTAAGGGGCAGTGCAGGCTTGGAGTTGGAGTCCCTGGTTCCCACTGGGGTCCACTGCTGCTGAGCAGCCAGACTGCAGACCAGGTGGCTCACCTCTAGGAGCACTAGTCCACTCTTCTGTAAAATGTTCACGTGAGTGACACTGCCTGCCCAGAGGCATGTGAGAAGCAGGCTAGAGACTTCATGTCAACTCTGAGATGAGGCTGGTATGTGTCAGTACATGATAGCTTTCACCCTAAGTAGGAAACTATTTGGCAATCAACATGATTATGATTCATGTGCCTACCAGGTGCCTCATATTGTGGTAGGTGCTGGGCATTCAGGAGGGAAGGCTCCCACAGTGTCCTTGCCTTTCAAGGCCATCTGTGAGTGGAAAGAAAGGATGGGAGGAGAGCTTGAAAAATGCAGATCTTGCTCTAGCTCTCTTATGTACGGTTTCAGAACTACAGCTCGGAAGCTAGCACCCAGAAGCAGCTTCCCTGCAGGCCCTGAGAATGAGAGTGGCCTGGATTCCTGAGCGTGATCCACTGTTTTCCACTGATGCCCAAGGTGCTGTTCAGCATCTCCACCAGGTGGTCTCTGCCTTTGCTTGCAGAGTTCCCAAGGTGGCATCCTGGCCTTGGTTGGAGATTGAGCATCGGAAAGAGTCCTTTGGGCAGGACAAACCAGGAGAAGGGCACAGTCATAGCTACCGGGAGCACCCCAAGGCCCTTCCATACCATACTCTCACACAGCAGCCAGACTGAGCAGCCTGGATCCCCCACTTGCTGGGGCTGGGCCTGCTGTCCTCTGGGATGCCACTCCAGGGCCTGCCCTGCTGACTGCCACCTCTGAGCCTTCAAATCTGAGACTTTTGCTCAGGTTCGCCTATGACTGACCAGGTGGTGGGTAGGATGGGATCTGTACATCAAGGGAGATGTGGGCAGTGAGGGTTAGAGGCCCTCGAGAATTCCAGACGTTCTATCCCACCATCCTGTTGTTTCATGTGGGCAGTGAGGCTCATGCTCGTCGCTGGTCCAACTGGATACAGTTGAAAGCTCCTGAGCCATCACAGGCTTCTTGAGCAGTAACCTTGAGGGCTATGTGCTGAAGGTGATCTTGGCAATATCAGCAGATGAAACCCACAGTGCAGCCTGGGCCGCCACATGGGAGAAGGGTAGAACCCCTGAAACCACCTGAGGAAGAAACTAGCCTTGTTCTAAGTTAGTGGAACTTGAGGCTTATTTGTTTTTGCAGCATTAATTTGTCCCAGCCTGATTGATATACAGTCAGATCTGGTCTTTATTCCTGGCTGAGTCCTCATGAACTGTGTGACCATAGGCAAATGGCAAACCATCTTGGGGACTCCATGAGGATACCTCCACCATCTCATTCATGGGCTCTTGGAAGAATTCAGGGAGAAGGATGGTAAGTGGTGGGCACACAGAGAGACCTCAGAAAATGGCTGCCACCTTTGTTTCAGGTCTACTATGCCACCCAATGACCTTTCACAGATTAACAAACCGAGGTTCAGAGATGGCAGGCTCCTTCATAGGTCACACAGTTTAGAAATCATGGAGCACCAAGGAGAAGGGAGGGGGAAGATGGGAGCAATTCCCAGGTCTGGGGGTTCTGGGTCAGTGTGCCCCATGGTAAGAGGACACCACAGAACACTTACCATCCAGTCCACACTGGCTTAGGACTTTGGCCTTTTCCAACTGTGCTCAGATCTGTGCTCTTGAACAATTTACTTAGCTGAGGGACAGAGATAGCAATCTTATCAGAAAGGTGCTGGGCCTGCTCACATCTAAGGCAAAGTGCTTTGAAGTTCTGACCTTGCTCAAGGGTGTGTGCCTTTTCTCACAGGGCTTTCAAAAGCTTCTGGATCAGAGCCAAACTCAAGTTGAAATCATTCTCACCAAAGGTGGCCCTGTTGTGCCATCTGGTGGCCACTACCTCTGAGCCCTCCGAGTGATACTCTAGGCCAAAATCAGGAAGAACTGAGAAGCTCTGGGCTGAGCCTGCTCTACTGCCCAGAACCAGTGGGTAGGGCTCATCTCCAGAGCTCTTTGGCTAGGAACACATCTTACAGTCCTTATAACAGCCCCCCTATCTCCACTCAGGCACGGTGCTCCAGTCCTGTGATGTGTGTTGGCTCCACCCTCTGACTCGACTCAACCATACAAACACACACACACACACAAACACACACACACATACACACACACACACACACACACACACACACACATATATTTTAATCTATGTCTGGTTGGTTGAACTGAGGGATGCAGCCCTGGTGGACAGAGAGACGGCTGGCTGGCGGATCATTTCTTCTTGTATCTGGAGCATGAACAAGCAAATGTCCTAGGTACACTGAGACAGTGAGGAGACCCTCCCCTCGGCACTGGGCACAGAGGACAGGGAGGCTCCCACCTTGCCAGGGCACACAGCTGCATTCCAAAAGGGCAAACAGGAACCCAAGTTTCATCTCTAAACCTCCTCTTGCCATGGGGCACACTGGTCCCAGGTCCACTAGGACCCCCCAGACCTGGGACTTGCTCCTGGCTGCCCACTCCTCTCCCTTCTCCTTCACACCCCATGAAAAATCAACAAAGAAAGAAAAGGGGGCAACGAGTGCCTCGCCACACTTTTTCAGTCCTCGAGGGCATTTAAAACTCCTTATAAATGAAAAAGAAATCAAAAGCGCATACTCAGAAACTTCCTCTAGACTCTCCAAGTCGTGGCCAGGTGGGGTGTGCAGAGGGACTGGCTCTGTCACTGCATGCAGGTGCCAAGGGGAGTCCAGAAGAAATGTCTTCAAACCCTTGCGCTGTCTTGGCTAAGCGCTTTCCAGGGACTCCAGCCTGAGACCTGGCAGGAGGTAGGGCACCCGGCACAAGGCTCTGTTCAAGGAGAATCGGCTGCAGCATGCTGCCACCTTGCGGTTGCATCTTCACACTGCAGCGGCAATGTGCGGCCAATCGGAACCCCAGTGGCCTGGGTCTCTGATGTACAGTATGTGATGGTGCGTATTGTAGATGTGTGCTGCGTTTGTGTAGTTTGTGCGTAGTGTGTGTGTGGGTTCATGGTGTTATGCTGTGTGCATTATGTGTGTTGTAGTGAGTATTGTTTATGTGTGTGTGGTATGCACGTGTGTGTTGTGTATTATTGTGTTTGCATTGTGGTGTATTGTGTATGAGTTGTACGTGTTGTTTTATTGTGTATGTATTGTGTGTATTTGTGTGTGGTGTGTGCTGTGGTGTGTGTTGTGTGTGCACATTGTGTGGGGTGTGTTTTGTGTGTATTGTGTATGTTTTGTGCATATTGTGTGTGTGTTATGCAATGTGTGATATATATTGTGATACGTATTGTGTATGTGTTGTGTGCATTGTATGTGTGTATTGTGTATGTTTTGTGTGTGGTATGTATTGTGTGTTGTACTGTGTATTGTGTTTATTGCTATGTGTGTGTTTGGTGTGTACTGTGTATGTCTGTGTATTGATAACAAATGAACACAGGCCCCTGTTGGAGCAACATGGAGAAACGTTCAAGGAAAACGAATTCTAGGATTGAAGAAGTCACTTGGAGAAGATGTAGGGTGATGTGAATCCTCATCACTGAGGATAGGAGGAAGGGCGGGGACACAGGGAGAGGAGATGGGTAGGTCAGAGGGGGTTGGAGCCTGGCCATCCTCATGGTGTTGCTGATTTCCTCTGCCCAATGGGCCATTTAAGAGTTATTGGTGTGTTCGGGGCTCTTTCCCAAGCCCTTTACCTGTGCTAACCCAATACTCCATGGGTGTGTGTACCAGTCATTATTCCAGTTTTATCCACACAGCCAGTCAGTAGGCTCCTCCCACAGTCAGTAGGCCCTCCCCTCAGCCAATCAGTAGGCTCCTCCCACAGCCAATAGGCTCTCCCAATCAGTAGGCTCCTCCCACAGCCAATAGACCCCTCCCACAGTCAGTCAATAGGCCCTTCCACAGCCCAGGGCTGGGCAGCTGTGGAGACATCTACACATCTAGTCCTGGAAATGCCTTCAGAAGGCCTCCAGAGACAGTCTCCACTGAAGTTAGGGAATGCCTCCTGGCTGATACAGAGAAAAGGGAAGGAACAGTGGATGGATGGGTTGGGAGCCTGGGCCCACCACTGCTCTCTCTCGCTTGCAGCTCTGGTGAGCTATGGTGAGGATCAAGACCAGCCCTGGTAGGGGAGGTGGCACATAAACTGTGAAGTGCCATGTGCATACTAGGAGGGATCACTGACACCAGTTTAATACAGCAAAGTCAGGACACGGGGTTCTGGAACTATTTCTTTAAAAACCCAAATAACGGTGGCTGTACCAACTTTGGACCTGACTGTGCCCCTCCTTGGGTGTGGCCATCTCCTCTGTGTACACTGGGTCCTGGTCAAAGGTGGAACCACTGGCCTGTGTCCACCAGGGTCTCCTGGGATGCTTTTGCTTCTGCTCGCCCCCTCTGAAGGCTGGCATGGCCATGCCCCTTTGAAAGTTGAGATCAGAGGCTCAGAGAGGTAAGGCTCACCACAGTCACACAGCAGGGGACAGCTCCACTCTGTCTCCTGAACCCTCTTCCCACACCCCATCGGGAAGACACCATCCCAGGGGACCCAGGAGATGATGCATTGAGGCACTGAGCCATGCTGGGACTGAAAGGACCCCATGAATAGAAATTGCACCAAGTCAGAACTCTGGTAGAACATTGAACGTACCCAAACCATAAAATAGCTTTTTATTCACTTTGATTCAGATCATTGGAAATAGTCAACAATAATAAATAAAACTGAGCAGGGGCTGAGGAAGACAGACTCAGTAACGTCATTCAAAATGCAGTCAGACCAACCAGGAGAAATGGGGTGAAGGGGAGAGAAAGCAGTTTAAATGGGTAACGAACAAAGGAGGAAAAAAAGTGCTCGAAGAACTTTGGCTTTGAAGGGGACTCGGGAAAGGGCTAATGTGATTGTTTGGGGGACCGGGGGGTCAGGAGCAGCCCTCATCCACCTACTGAGGCAAGCAATGTCCAGATTGGGCTTTAGCTAAACGATCAAAGCGGGTGCCATGGGGCAGACCTAGGGCAGGGGGAACCAGGGTAGAAGCTGAGCAGGCAGAGATGCTGGGAAGGTGGGGACAGGGTCCCAGGGAGGTGGAGGTAGGCATGGGGCCTGGCCTGGCCTGGCGGAGCTACATGCTGTTTGAGTAATGACGATTTTTATGTCCTGAGCCTGGTTGCTGTGGTGCTCTATTTTCTCCTTCTGTGATTCCTGCAGGTGGCTGAGGGCACACAGCTGGGCCCTGTCCTCTGATGCACAGTGGGCACTTAGAACCTCCCTGGAGTAGGCCTTTCTCATCCTGCTTGTTGGGGGGCTACTTTGAAGGGCACATGTAAAGCCAACTGGGGTTCTCAATGTTCACCTTGACAGAGAGGCTGCATTCCCAGGAGGCAGGATGGGCCTCTAGCAGCCTCTTGTGGCCACAGTGGCAACTGCGGTTCCATCTAGACCCTCTAAAGGCCTTTTTCCTAAAGTATTTTTCCCAATCAGGGCCCTCCTCAGACTGTGGTGTCTGTTCCCATTGGACTTGTCTCACTAGCCCAGGACATGTAGTTTGTTGGATGATGTCTGATGCCAGAAAAGCAATATAAAGGCATTGGCTTAAGGATTTTCCTCTCTGCTTCATCCTTCCTATGAGCCAAATGCCACCTTCCTTATCTCTCTGTCCTAACAGAGACTGAGGGCAGGGGAGGCTGTTGCCAGCTCTGGAAAACTAATCACCAGGTTCATCGCAGGCTGGAAAACAGGCTAGGATGTTACCTATACTCCCCAGACCCCCTGGGCTTAGCAGTTTCTAGTTCAGCCCTTTGTCCTGGAGGAGTAGGGTCCTCTACTCCCCACTAACTCCAGGACAGGATTTCTTTTAGGAAAGGCCCCTCCCGGTTCTCAGCCACCTGCACCCCAGGGAGAGATCCAAATTACCTTAATCTAATTGGTGCCTTTAATTCTGGTCACAATGGGCCGGATTTTATTCAGTTAAGAGCCCACATTGCTAAGCCAGAGACATAGGGGATGGGCTGTGGGTTATAGGAAGAGGGAGGGATAGAAAAGGGAAGGGAAGCAGGGAAGGGGCTGATGGAGACCAGAGGAGTTTCCTGGGCAGCATTCAGCTAGACATGGCTGTGGCCTCACTTCTGGCACTTGCTCTCACAAAGTAGAGCCCAGGAGGTACAGTGACCCTATGCCGATGTCCACTTAGCTCAGGTTTGTCCCTGGAACTGACCAGCTGACCCACAAACATCTGCTGGGTTCTTCACACTGGGAGTATCAGAACCTCCAGCCTTTGAGGAGACCTTTCCAGAACAAAGCCCTCACAGGGGTTTGCCAGCCTTTGGCAGCCAAGTGTCTTAAGTCTGGAGAAATTTGAAAATGGAAACAGGGTACCCCCTAACCCCAACCACCAAAAGTCTAGATTCTGAATCTCTGAAAATCAAACAGAAGCAACAGCAAAGCCACTAATGACAGAGTCCAGGAAAACGTCAGCCTTGTGTCCCCTTTCTGGGGGTGTCTACGAATAGCTTAAAGCTGTATGTGGCTCCTGACCTCCCACTTGCAGAGGGGACCCTGAGCAAGGGGAGAGCTCCCGGGGCCCTCGACACTCCCACTCTATGGCTCGGTGAAGCAGCAGTGGCCTTTAGGAAATGCTTTCAGCAAGAACAGAGGTTTCTCTCACTGAACATCTGTAATGAAGTGACAGTCACCACCCATGGCCTGTTCATTCTTGTCCTAATTCCCTGACAAAGAAGTTATCAGTGAGGCGGGAGGCCCTAGCCTGAGTGAGTCGGTCCTGCAGTGAGAAAGAAGACAGGTGGGTTCTACAGCTCCCGTCCTACAGAGGACCATCAGCACCACAGGCAAGCCTCCAGCCCAGATTCCCCAACACCAGCATCAAGGGTGCCCAGAGGCTTCCCTTCTGCTCCTGCCCCCCACTTGCCAGGCAAAGCAGAAATGTAGCAAAAACACCAGGAGCAGCACAGGGAGAGTGAACAAAGGGTCAGCGGAATCCATCAATCAATAAATAATCAGGAAGCCTGTAGAGGGAGGAAGGGAGAGCAGACAGGGGTGAGGAGAGGAGGTACGTGCCAGTTACGGTCCTAGGATGTCCCCACCCTGTCCCTCAAGGGCACCAGGAAGGTGGCAGCCAGGGACTTGGCCCAGCACTCAGGCCCCAGGGGGTGTTGCTGGTTGTCAAGGGCCCCTGTGCAGCCTTGGAAGGTCAAGGACACTGAAGCCAACATTTCAAGGAAATATGACTGGGCATCCCATGCCTGACATGCACTGGGTGGCCTGACATGCTCCGGGTGGCCTCTGAGAAGAGGTTCTGCACTATGAAGCAAAGCAGGGTGCTGGTGGAGGTCCCCTTTCTCGAGTTGGGGATTTTCCTTCATGTCAGACAACACATGCATTTCTCCCTCAAGTACAAAGGCACGTGGAAGTAGTCAGACCCGCTCACAGCCATCAGTATCGCCATGAAGGTTGATCACATGGAGGGGTGATTAAGGTTTTTCTCCTGACAGAAACAGGTGGTCAGGTTTCTAGGAAGACCTTTGGGGTCAGAAGCTTTGCCCAGCCATCACTAGTAAGCTTTGGGAAGAGAGGGACAACAGGTTTTCACTCCAAGTAAGAGGCCAGGCTTCGTGCAAAGGAGGACAGCATCTTGCCCCAGTGCTGGTGTGGCTCAGTATGGCTCTGCTCTAGAGATAGATAACGGTCTCGAATTCTCCAGTCAGAGTGTGAGCATGAGGCCAAAAGGCAGCAGCAGCATCTGAAAGACTTCTCTGGAAATGCCTGCCTCTACAAAACAGGAATCCTCAGGATTCGCTCCCTCCCACCCAGAAGCCAAAAATAACTGTTTGGAGGCTGGCCCTTTCCCAGCATCTGCCCACCTTCCCCCAGCTAGGGGACAGCAGTGGGGAACTCCTCCCACCTGAGGCAGGCCTAAGACTTGCTTTGCATCCTAGGAGAGTCAGGAGACCTTGCTGAGTAGATGCTGCCAAAAATGGGGGTGCAAGAGGCTTCAAGTGAGCCTAGTAACACCCCAAGGTCATCTCTGGACGCTTCCAGAATACACAGGCTCCAGTGGGATGCTGGGGTTGCAGGCTGAGAGCTGTGATATGGTGCGAGCCTTCTTAATGGGTCACAGCGTCATCTCCCCTTGAAGATGCGGATTTTGTTGATGGATGCCAAGGTGGTTGTGACATTGGATTCGAAGTCGCCATCATGAACCCCGGTCTTTCGGAATGCACCCGCTGATGGGTTGTTTTCCCAGTAATGATGCCAATTCCCTTTGCTGTCTGCCCCGAAGCCATACAAGTCCACCTGTGGGGCAGAGTCAAGGTGAGATTGAGAGAGCAAGTAGGGCTCCAGTTCAACTCTATTCCCAAAGCACCTTGGGGTAACTTCAGGTGAGTGGTCCTGAGGGGGCTGGGCCTCCCTTGGCAGTCCAGATGGAGTCCTGGCAGGAGAGGAGATGGGGAGTGGCGAGCACACTTGGGAGACAGGCAAACAGCCCCTCTTCCAAAGCTGACCCCTGCAAGTCAGATCACTTAGGAGGCCAAGACGCATGACCACAGGAGGCAGCTGGCAGCTTCCAGTCCCTTCATTCTGAGGTCAACATTTATGTGGTCCAGGTAGAGGCCAGGAGCTGGGGCCCTCACACACATGACAAACACAGATGGCCACTTATTCTGTGCCTAGCATCTTGCTGGACAAGTCAAAATGCAGGCAGATCTACTTTCATTAGCTGCCACCTGGAGGATGCCAGGGACATCAGGGATGCATGTGTCAGGACTCAACTCTTCCAACTTATGGCAATCATAGACAGACTGCCCCTTGGAGGGATGAGGGCTGAATTAAGGGTTCCCAGGACACCCAGGGACCCAAGGTGGATGCAGTTTCTTCCAGGAAGGTGACACCTGGGTTTGGAGAACAGCCTGGAACTTCGGGAGACAGAGCAGGACAGGGAGCAGCTCCATGGCAATGGCAGTGTCTCAGCAAATGCCTGCAGGCATACAGGCCTGCCTCGGAGCAGGGGTTTGCTGGTGAGACATGGGAGCAACATCTGAGGCAGAAGCCAAGGGGTCTGTTACCAGTGGCTGGAGGAGTGGGGAGCAGAGGAAGCCCTTGGAACTGGGGAGATATAAGGCTGCTTTGCAGCCCCTTGGCCTCTTCCTGGGGTTCCAATCAAGAGAAAGGAAGTATAGGGCTAGATGGGCTGGATGTGACAAGAAGGGGCACGTGAGTGCTCCATTCGCTGGAAACACGACCAGAAAGGAAGGGCTGCTGGAGGTGGGTGCTCCTCTGCCCAGGGTAGAAACCACTCTGAGCCTGGCAACAGCTGGTATGGTCCCTGGTTCTTTCTTGGTAGGCAGTGGAATCCCTGGGGGCCTGCCTGGAATCCCAGAAATTCTAATGAAGACGACATTCTAGAATGTCGTCCAAGTGTTAAATGTAGCTCCTCAAGTAGCTCTAACAAACAACCGGGGGTGATAACTGTGGCTACAGACAGCTTTCCCTGTTAGAACCCACTTCTAATCTCAGCTTTGCCACCCACTGTCCCACACAAAATGTTCTAGAACTCCTGTTCCTGAAAGCATTTTCAGAGTGTTGTCACTCTTCAACGTGCTAGGTCAGGCAGGCGTTGGAGCCACAGACAAAGACATGGATGGAATATGCCCTCTGCCCACTCCTCTGGAAACAGGGAGTGGTGGCCCTCATCCCTACAGCTGGCAGGAGGGTGGGCTGGCATACCTCATCACAGACGTGCATGGAGAAGATGACCGAGAGGATGCCAGTGGACGGGTACCGCCCATGGCCTTGGAGCCAGTTGTCAAAGACATACTTGATGAAGGCTGGGTGGTAGATCAGGATCTGCAGGGAGGATGGACCTGGGTCAGTGTGGCTGGCCAAGGATACAGAGCACCTAGTGGGTACCACACTGCTGTGGCCATGGGGACACAGCCACAAAGGGCTCTGACAGGCACCCTTGCACTCATGGGCTTAGTGCTGGAGGGACCATGGACACCATTCTGCATCACTGAGAGGTGGGCCCTAGAGGCAAGAAACAGCACAGAAGCACAGAACAGCCACATAGCATCAGGGGCATACTAGTGGGAACAGTGACCCTAGGATACCAGAGAGTGAAACCCAAGGCGCCGAAGTGCTCCAGGAAGCAGTGTTAGAGGATGGGGACAGTGTCACACTGCATGAAAACATACCTTGGGCCATCTGCTTTGCCTGGCATTGGCTGGAATCAACTCAGATCCTTAAGGTCACCCTACATATATGGCTTTCTTCTCTTGTTATGCATGAAGACACTGAGGCTCAGAGAGGCTAAGCAATGTGCTCAGTGTCACACAGCCAGTAGTAGCTATCTGGGAGGGCTCCCCAGGTCAGGCTTGGCCTTGGCCTCATCCGTCACAGCTAAGCTGAAGTCAATGAAGAGGGCTTCTTGAGGAGCAGTGGGAGTGTACGCCCAGGCAGCCCTCTACCTCTCCTAAGCAGGGGCTGGGAGGGGGGATTCCCCTCTGGACAGCTCTTCACCTCAGCCTTGCTTCCAAGGATCGGGGTCTTAGGAGTCCCACCCAATAGAGACACCCATGGCTTCTTTCTGGGGCTGTGAAGCCCAAGGCCAAGGGCAGGGTGCTGCAGGCACAGGGAAACTTCACTCTAGCCCTAGCAGGATCTAGCTGTGTGTCCCAGGACAAGTTATTGGTCTCTCTGAGCCTCCTGAAGTACGACAGTGTATGCAAAGGGCCAGTGCACTGGGTATTTCACTCACTTTCCTGCCTTTGCCCTTGTCCGGGCCAGTGCAGTACTCCTAGGAGCCCAGAAGGGAGGATGGAAGCATGGAGAAACTGAAGTAAGTCTGGCTTTGAGAAGCTCCCCACACCCAGAAACAATGCTCAAACCACAGCCTACACTGTCGCCCCCCACAGCCCCCCAACACTGAGAGCCTGTGAGAGCTGGCTGGGCACCACCCTAGAAGGTCTGGGTGCCTCTGAGGATTCAGGTCTCTGGAAGTTCCTAAGTGCTGCTGCTGGTCTGGGGACTCACTTTGAGGACCTGTCCTTAGCAGTGAAGTTAACTGGGGCCAGTGCCTGCACCATCCCAGGGCCTTGCTCCATCACGGTGTCAAGTCTTGGAAAAGAAACCAGTGCAGAGGTAGAGGGTCTCGAGCCACCACTCACCTTCTCCTGTTTCACTTTGATCTTCGGGGGCACAGGGACGTAGGTGCTGGTTAGGGAAAGAAAAGATGATTAACGCGGAGAGGGGCCACGTCGGCACCAGCAGCTCCAGGGACCCTCTGGAGTGACACAGAGCCAGAAGGGCAAGGGTGGGGAGGACCCTCCTGACCCCCAACTCCACTCTCTCAAAGCCAACTTCTTGCCCCAGACCAGTTCCTCCTTTCAGAGCCCCATGGCCACTAGGGGGCGACCTTGGCTGACTCCATTCCATGGTTGCATGTGTCAGAATGGGGTCTTGTAAGCAAGGCCTTTAGAGGCAGCAGAGATGCCATGTCTTCCAGTGCCTACTGGGGGGCTCAGGGTGATGTTGGGGTGCGGACAGGAGTGACCTATGGTTGTTTCAGGTTCATGCAAGAGGTCATGGGTCTCAGCATTAAAGTGTAAAAACTAGTGCAAGTCAGGCTCCTGAGCGAGCTGTGCAGCCAGAGCTAGAATGCCCTAAGCCAGCGGCTGGGCCCCTCCTCCTGCCCAGCTCTTCCCTCATGCCCTGTTCCCTGGAGGCACAGCCCCACACAGTTCCTGGAACCTCAAATCCTGTCTCTGGTACTGCTCTTGGGAGACCTGGGCAAGAACCAAGCAACATGTGGACATCTGGAATTGGAAGGTACTGTTTTTGGGAAAAGTCAGGGACTGAGAAATTGGACCCAGATGGTTACATGGGCTCTGGGTCAAGTTCAGTGTTGGGTGAGTGGTTTGGCCCAGGCTTGGTTGCTCCCTGGAGGACAGAAGTAATGAGAACCATTGTGAGGACACATGCAATGGTGAGTTCCAAACGATAGGCGCTGTGCCTGGGGAGCAGACAGCAGCCCTAGCATTGGTGAGTTGATGGTGACTTACTGACAAAGTATGTGCTCAGTGGCCCCTGCCTGGCCCACACTGCAATTTTACAGCAAAGCACTCCCACCATTGAGGGTCAACATTGAGCTACCATGTGCCGAGTCCTTTCTAGGGGTTCCCCCACCAGATTACAGGGAATTGTGGGGAGTAAACCATGGAGGTGCACTTGGGAGTCCTTAGCAGGAGAACCACAAAGTTTGTGGTCTTGTAGGAGTGCTGGGAGGTGAAGGGACCAGTAAGCATAGGACCAACTGGAGAGGTGGTGGGAAGAGATGGCCATATGTGTATCCAGGAAGCATGGTGACTTGGACAGCTTCAGTTATCAACTTGACACACCTGGGTGGAGGGAACTTCAATTGAGGAATTTCTTCCATTGGATTGACATGTGGCCATGTCTATGTGGTATTTTCTTAACTGTTGAGTAATATGGGAGGGCCCAGCCCACTGTGGGTGGTACCAACCCTGGGAAGGTGGTCCTGTGTTACATAAGAAAGCAGGCTGGGCATAAATCAGGGGAACAAGCCAGTAAGCAGAGTTCCTCCATGGTCTGTGTTTCAGTTCCTGTCTCCAGGTTCCTGTCCTGAGTTACTTCCCCGACTTCCCTCAGTGATGAAGTGTGACCTGTGAAATGTAAGACAAAATGAACCCTTTCCTCCCCAGGTTGGTTTTAGTCAGTGTTTTTATCACAGCAATAGAAAGCAACTAGGATAAACATGTTCTCAGGAAGGGGAACCCTGAGGGACAGCCTAGCAGGAGTGAGCCACAGGAGCGGACAAGTCGGTGTGGGCTGGACCCTGGAGGGACTCACTGTGTGATGGTGCCCGTGGTGGTGGCACTGATCACCCACTGCAGGTCGGTGGTCTTGAAGGGGACCAGGACCATGTTGACATTCTCCCCCAGCTCCCGGAAGCTCTCAGGATATACCAGATGGTGGGTGGTCCTGCTCCCAACGTCTGCCTCAAAGCCCACTGTGGGTGCTCTGTTCATCCTGGAAGGAAAGAGAAACAGGGCATGCGGCAAGGGCTGGGGAGCTCGAGAGTCACTCACGTGGTGATGTCAGGTGAGCACCTTCGTTCCCTATGTGTCAGTTTCCGTTTGTGTACAACAGGAATGATGGAGGCGCATGTCTGATACCCCAGGTACTCAGGAGGCTGAGGCAGGATGGCAAGTTCAAGGCCAGTTTGAGAAACTCAGCAAGACTTTGTCTCAAAATGGAAAGTTAGTAGAGGGTAGAGGTAGCTCAGAGGTAGAGTGCTTGCCTAGCATATGCAAGGCCAAGCAAGTTCCATCCCTAGTACTGCAAAACAGAGGCCAAGGCTTTTGGTTTTGCTCTTTTCTGAAAGCAATTAACTCTAGCCGCCCCATCACTGATCACTTGTCAACACTAACCTGGTAGGTGCATCCTTTTTATGGTTCAGTGTGCAGACAAACTGTCTACCAAGCTGTAGCTTTGAACTCAGGTCTGCCTCACCCTGAACCAGAACCTAGATTCTAAGAGTCAGAGACAGAACTATGGACATGAAGCCAGAGACACAGAAATAGGGCGGGTCTAGAAGGCATCCGGGGGACATTAAGAAGTCCCACCTCTGCTCATGCTCTTTACCCAGAAGGGAGGCCCCTCTTTCTGGAGTGTCTGTTCCACCTGGGGACAGAGGACACACACTTGACATTAAAAGCACCTGGTTCTAGCCAGGCGTGGTGGCCTTTAATCCCAGCACTCAGGAGACAGAGGCAGGCGGATCTCTGTGAGTTCAAGGTCAGCCTGGTCTACATAGTGACAGTTGGGGCTACAGGGAGGCCCTGTCTCAAAAAGGCCGAAAAAAAAAAGAGCACCTGGTTTTGTCACAGCCTCGATTGTAAGCTAAGAGTGAATTCAAAGCACTGAACCAGAGGCTTCCAATCAATCTGGCCCTCTTATCAGGCCTTAGGTGCTAAGCCTTGGGCCCACTAGAGAACCCCCCTCTCCCCCCCGCAGGAAAGGTTTCTTTTCTGGATGCCATCTCAAAATAAGGTGGGGAAATTGAGGTCCAGAGGTAGGTCATGTGGGGGCCCCAGGCCCGGAACCTCGACCTTCTGAGCTGAGCCAAGGTGATGCTTTAATATAGCTCTGAGGTCCCCTGGGCTCAGGAGGTAGGTAGGCTTAGGCTGAGGGTCGGGCGCTTACCTCAGCACAAAGTCATGGCTGTCTATGTCAGACCCATACGAGGATGCCCGCAGGTTGCCTGAGTTGCCCACGACAGCACAGCGCCGGCAGCCCACCGACCTCTTGTCCAGCACAGGGTCCACGTTCCCAGGCACCAAGCTAAACAGTTCCTTGACGATGTCGCTCAAGTTGTTGGGTTTCCTCTCCCTCTGGAGCCTCTGGGGCAGAGCAGAGAGGAAACAAGTCAGCTTGTCTCCACTACCTCTAGCTGAGTGGGTTGGCTCACTGGCCACTAAACTCAGTTACTAGTTGTGAAGACAGAGGTGGCTAGACACAACCTGGTCCCTACATTGGAGACAGGAGGAAAGCTCATGCACTTACTTTGTACTCGCACACCTACTATGTATGAGCCCAGGACTTTGAGTGATCTGCCTTAGGTGTGTGGGAAGCAGCAGTGAGTCCAGCTCTGATCTTTCTACACCTGGTTTCCCAGGACCTCCCACCCCTACCCCTGGCATGTGGCTGTTGTCCTTCCAAGCTCTTCTCCCTCCTAGTAGTGCTCTCTCTGGTGAGAAATATATAGAGCCTTTGTGCTGACCTTAGGGCATATCCCAGACTCCTCAGTCCAGCTCTGATCTTTCTACACCTGGTTTCCCAGGACCTCCCACCCCTACCCTTGGCATGTGGCTGTTGTCCTTCTAAGCTCTTCTCCCTCCTAGTAGTGCTCTCTCTGGTGAGAAACATATAGAGCCTTTGTGCTGACCTTAGGGCATATCCCACACTCCTCAATGAAGGCTGTGTCCTCTCTGGGACCCCCTCCTCTACTTCCTCACTCATGGCACCACAGCCTAAAGAGCTGTGCCACTTGCACACACTGTCCCAGAACCTGTAGCACTGTCTCCGGATCTTTCCATGGCCAGTGCTGTCTCTGCCTTTGGGTCTCGGCTCAAGTCTAGCCCCTGTAGAGCCCTCCAGGAAGATCCCACTTCCAGAGGCCAGCCCCCACACATTTCTCAGGATCACAATCTTCAGGTGGTCTTCTACCCAAGCCACCTTCCTGTGCTCTGTTTCTGCGCTGGCAGATTTAACCAACCACAAACAGGAAACAATGCAAAGAAAAGATGATCTGTTTCAAACATGCACCTACTGTTTGAGTCTTCTAGAAGGGACTTAGTATAGGAGGAGACGTAAAGAACAAGCACTATAGCACTGTACATAGGGGGTCTGAGCATTCTAGAATGAATCCCTGGAACTGCCATATTTATTGCAGTCCTCATCTGCATCACCAGACAGAATAAAATCTCATGAGAATGTTTCTAGACCAGCTGGGTCCTCATCTGCATCACCAGACAGAATAAAATCTCATGAGAATGTTTCTAGGTTTGCCACCTGCAGCAGGTGAGACCAGCTTGGACTCGGGGTGTGCCTGAGAGCCACAGATACATGCCCTTCCCAGGAGAGGAGACTGTAAGATGCCGGAGACACAGATAAACCACAGGGGGTGGGGCCACAGACTGAGGTGCTGGAGGCACGGGTCAGAGTGCCAAAGGCTTTCAGCAGCCACAGAAACTGAAGAGAGACGTGGGGTGAGGTGTCCCTCAGAGATCCCAGAAGGAACCAACCCTGTAAGGTGTGATCATGTTCCTGTGTCTTAAGGTACCAGGTGCCACAGGAGAATGAAACAGTGGGGCTTTCTTTGACTTACATGTAGTAGATTCTCAATAAATAGTCATTGAGTGAACAGATAAATGAACAAACGATACTCTAAATGCTGCCTGATGCCTGGTGGGGCCCTGCAACCCCCAGACCCAGCATTTGTCTCTGGGATGCCCCCTCTCCCCGCTAGCAGCCCCCGCTCTGCTCACCAGCCACCACTGGTACGTGTCTTCCTCCATCATGGCATTGCTGGCAGTCAGCAGCGGTTGCATGGTCTGGTTGAATCGCTGGTCGAACCAGGATGAGACTTTGCTCTGGCTGATGCAGTGTGTGCAAGTGCACGGCCGTTGTTTGATGAGCTTCTGGAAGTTCTCTGAGAGCTCCAGGACCATCTGCTTGGGGAACCAGGTGATGGGCACACCGCTGTTGGAGTAGTTCAGGAAGCAGGAGGTGAGGAAGACAAAGAGCAGGAGGAAGGTGAGCCACTTGACAATCTTCTTCCTCAAGTTCACCATCTCTGCTCTCTGCTGGGACCTCCGCAGACAGGAGGGTAGATGAGAAGAGATCCTACCTAGAGTCCAGAGGAAACACGAGGGAAATCCCAGAGATGCAAGTGCTGGCAGAGGGGCTGGGGATCTGCAGGGAGACCTCAAGGACAGCTGTGGCCAACTTTACCCCTCGGAGAAGCGTTCCAGGCCTGTGTTCTGGGCATCCCTATGTGGTACCCGAGGTCTGCCTGTGGTGAGTTGTCTTGGCTCTGTAGTTTACCTTTTGGTAATTATCGTGGTCTACCTTTTCGGCAACCCTGAGCAAAGTCGAGAATGTGACTTGATGGCACGTCAATGAAGCCTTAGAACAGTGATGTCCTCTTCCACTCAAAGGGCATCAGGAGTAGTTAGGTAATCCTTGGAAGGTCTGGGGACAACCAGGGGTGGAGACTCAGGAGAAGCTAGGGAAAGGTACAGGATCTAGGGATGCTGCGTGGACAATTCTTAACTAGAGCTTTGTCTCTTTCAGGCTGTCCCCAGAGATTGAGGACAGGGTAAACGGCATCTTCAGGAAGCCAGGAAAGTGCAGAGGTTACCTATCATCTGTGTAAAAAGGAGGAAGAAAGAAAGATGAAATTCAGTGACCTTGCTATAAAGTCGTTTCTCCCCACACCTCTACCACATTGCTGCAGGGGCTACCTGAGTTCATCTACCACCAGGAGGTGGCCACCTGCACAGAGTGATATTTCTGTCTCCCTGCAGGGGTGGCTTAGGGGCACAGAAGGAGCCCATCTGCATCTTTAACAGACAGAACCTGAAACAACATTTTGCACCAGGGGAGGTATATTTGTGTGTGTGTGTGTGTGTGTGTGTGTGTGTGTGTGTGTGTAATGTACAGTGTCGTAGAAGTAGGACCACAAAGGGTGAATATCCCAACCTTTCTTTTCTTCTCTCAAGGATTCTGAATTGCAGCAAAACAATAGGAATAATAACAAAAATGTCACACTCAGAGTGTGTGAAGGCTAGCTACCATGGCCTTCAAGCCTCACCACTTAGCCTCAGTTGGAGACAGGCTTTCCATGACTATGTTCAAATTCTGGTTGACCATTGTTTGTGTATGGTCTTCAAAAAGTTGTTCAAAGGCTGGAGAGATGGCTCAGTGGTTAAGAGCACTGACTGGTCTTGCAGAGGGTCCAAATTCAATTCCCAGCACTCACATGGCAGCTAACAAATTGTCTGTAACTCCAGTTCCAGGTGATCTGATGGCTTCTTCTGACCTCTGAGGGCATTGTACAACATGGGTGCACTTACACACATACAGGCAATACACTCATACACATAAGATAAAAATAATAAATAAAATATTTTTAGAAAAAAGAAAAAGTTATCCAGCCCTCTCAGCCCTCAATAGCTGCTTCTTTGCAGTGGGATTGATCATAACTTACAGAATGTTCTGAAGATAAGATGTTGTGTGCTGGGCTTTTCTTATGCAACTGATCAAATTTATCTTTTTCAATATTCAAATGAATGCATATCTTTGATAATCCACAAAGTACCAACATAATGATTTAATCATACAGGGTGTCTCCTGAGATAATCCACGTTTCCCACCAGTGTGAGACCATATTCCCCTTTATCCTGGAGGAAGCAGACTCAGAGGTCAAATGACTCATCTAGGGTTGGGCTGGGTGGGGTGGGGGCTGGAGCCAACTCAAATGCCCAGACCTCCAATCACATACATCTGGAACAGTTAGGAACAAAAGGCGGGGCTCTCCTGAGGAATTCACATCTGTCTTTGTTCAGTTTTCTGTGTTTGGTTTGAGACACCGCCTCACTGTATAGCCCAGGTTGGCTTCCGTCTCATGACAATTCTCCTGCCTCAGGTTTCAAGTGCTGGGATTACAAGTGTGCCCCACCATACACCTGACTTCTGATACCTTTCTCATCAGTATATGACAGCTGCAGCAATACCGTGAAATGGGGCTATCTCCTACCAAAGAATACCCAGCTCAGAACTATCCCACACACCACATCTGGAGTTGCCATATGTCCTAACTCACCCAGAGTGAAACCCGAGCTTTGATAAGAACACAAGACACTTTCCTTTGCTCTGCCAGGCTTGCTGTGTAGACTCAGAGGTCAGGGCCACACAGACCATTGTGCTAGCATGTATGGAAGAGGTCAGAGCTGAAGGAGACTCAGCCACTCCCGAAGGCAGCTCTGCACCTTGTTCAGCTACTGGAGAGAATAATCCCTTTACTGTGTAAGCAGATTATCTGTAACACGCAGCAAGAGGACTGATCCACACTCCATAGTTATTCCTGCCTGTGGGTTCTGTCCAGGCCCACCCTCACTGACCAGAAAGTACATCCTACCCTGCCCTGGTGGTTTTCTCCTTCAGGGCTCAGCTGGTGCTGGCTCTAGAGGAGGCCGCCCACACCTGCATGACTCCGGAACTCTCTAGTCAAAGTCTATGCATCCCTCCTCCCTGGACTGTGCTCCATGAGAACAGAAGTTGTTTTCACAATGGATCTGACGTTGTTACCTTGGTGCTCAGAGGAGATCCTGTGGACAGAGGAATGTGGAAAAGCAGGGACAGGAAAGGACTAGCGACTCAGAAAGCCCTCAGTGAGGGTGTACAGACTAAGGATGTTTGCAGCCTTTCTAGGCCACCATTCATTAGCTGTGTGACTATGAATAAGTAGCCTAGCTTCTCTGAGATACTCCTTCAACTGCTAGTGGGGCTGGCAATGTTCTGTCCAGGTTTTAGGATAGCATTCTATCAAGGCCTGTCCAATTAACTTGATACCTATTTGCTGTTCCAGCCACTGGACCAGGTGACTGGGATACATGGGAAGGATCTAGGTGAGTGCTTCTGAGGCAACCACAGCCAAGGGCCTTTGGGAGAAAGATGGCCTGGTTAAGAGACAGCATGGAGGCGAGCAGAGGGAGAGGGTGTCAGTGCTATGCAGGTACATGAAGAGCGGGGGCTGGTTACAGAAGCCTGGGTCAAGCCTGATTTTTCTGAGTGATGTGCTTGCTGGGGGTGACCTGCTCTACTTTGCTTTTCTTTCTGATGGGAAGGGTCTGATGTGACTGTGGACTGTGGATCAAAGGCTGTGAGAGGCTAGGTCCCCCATGGTGTCCCAGCTCCATGTGGGAGATAGTCAGTCTCTAGGCCAATGTCAGGTTTAGTGAGAGCTGGAATGGTGGGACCCTACCTCCTCTCTCTACTTCCCCAGGCATCTGTAGCCACATCTCTGAAGGCCCAGGCCAGGCCCTCACTTGATACTACAAGAGAGTTCTGGCTTTGGAAAGCCCCAGGCAAGGCTTCAGTTGGAAGGCAATCCTTCCCTCCACCCTTCCCTGGCCCCAGGGGGGTAAGGACTTTGTGACTTCTCTGTGTTCAAGGAGAGGCCGCTTGGAACGTTGGTCCTGGCTCCCAGAAACAGAGCAGCAGCCAAGATGCCAGAAGTCAAAGATGTCTGTGTGCCAAGTGCTCAGGGGGAGGCCATGCCCCTGAAACCAAGGAGGAGGAAGGGTGAGAGCCAGCTCTGTCTTCCTCTATAGGGTGGCAGGAATGCCATGCCAGGCTCTGGAATGCTAGAAGAGGCAGGGAGAGTGTTCCTGCAACTGGCCAGCAAGGCCTCCAGCAGTATGGTGACAAATGGTGCCCTTTTGAAGACTGGAAAGCAAAGGTTCCTTAAGTAGGGTGCTGATGGAGGCCAACTCCCCCGCCCCCGCCACCAACAGAGAGTTGGGGATAATCATGAGGCTCGGAGAACTGCCTGAAGCTCCTGACGTCCCAGCACACCTTCGGCCAGGGCTTCCCATGTTCAATAAGGCCCTGGCAGAGTAACTCCAGGCTGGGTCCCTCCTGTTCTGTGCATGACCCGTGGCTGCTAAGGAGATGCCTAGTGAGCCAGGGAAGGCTGCCAGCCACACCAATGTTCTAACAGAAAGGCCTTGACTACTGATGGGGGCTGAGGCTGGCTGGACAAGGAAGGGATCACCATGCTGAGATAAGAAACTTGTCCAGAGAGGGAAGGGGCTTCTCTGCGGTTGCACAGCAAGATGAGGCAAAGCCAGCACTAGCTTCTGCATCCCTACTGGGACTTTCCATGCAATCCAGGCCAGTCCCAGTGACCCATCAATACCTGCCCCCTCTATGCTCTTTCCTTCGTTTCCTTGGGTTTGATGTGGTGTTCTCTTCCAAACTTGAGATGGACTGCCTTGCTCACTCACTTCTGCTGTACCAGTTCTTACTTATGCCTCTTAGTTATAAAACATCCATTCGGCTGTTTTCCAGGACTTCTAATTCTCTGGTGAGTATCTCCAGCTCTAGTCTTTATCCCAGCAACTGTTCAACATAGTTGCTTTTTTTTTTTTGAGGCAGGGTCTCATGTAGCCCAGGCTGGCCTCTAACTCCTCAATAATCCCACCTCCTGAGTGCTGGGATGACAGGTATGTGCCACCCACCCACCATCACAGTTAAAGTCCATTCTTGATGGTTGGATGACACGGTGCGGTGTCTACTGCCTCTACCTTGAACCTTGCTTCCCTATCACCAACATGTGATAGGCTAATCAGCCCCTGCCGTGATAGGCAGAGCCGCCCTGGCTAACATGCCTTCCCCCGCCATGAAGGGCCAATATATCCTGAACCATGAGCCCAAATAAATCCATCCTCCCTCAATAATACCTCCCTATCAGGTATTCTGTCATAGAGATGAAAAAAGGCCTGGGTAACTTGGGTATCAGCAAGTGTCTACAAGTGGGGAAAAAGGCTCAGGATGTGAGTCTGCTCCTCTGAGGCTTCCTTTGCTCTGGGCACAGTCTCGCAGAGTTTGTCCTAGTGCCTGGTAAACATACTCCATCTTTCTATCCTTGGCTCCCTGCTGCCCCTGGCCCTCCACCTTGTGCAGAAGGTGGGTAGTGAAAATCAGCCTCACCCCATTCATCTCCCTCCCCTTGGGAATCCTCATCCCTCAAGTCTTGGCTGCTACTGCTTGGAGTTCTCGCTTTGAAGCCAGTCCTCTGTGGGAGAAAGGGCTTAACACACAGTCCGATGTGGAAGACACAGCGTCCTTCCTTTTTCTGTGTTGCTGGGACCTGGGCTAGTGTCCTTTATGTGCTAGAACTTGGCAGACTCTGAGCAGTGACTAGGGCACAGAGAGGCCCCAGCATATCTCTTCTCTATAGGCGTGAGTTCCCAGGAAGGGGCAAAGTAGTAATGGGCACCTCAGCAGCCACTGCCCCACCCAGAAGGTGCTCAGAGGCAGCTCTTTCCTCCCTGTGTCACATATTCTCGTGACACAACTCTGGACACTTGGCCCAGTGACTTCCAGTCAACCCTTTTTGAGGTCTGAGTGCTGGGAACCTACTGATCTCTGAAAGCACACCCTTCCCAGAACTCTGGGTCCCAGCTAGTGTTGGCTTCATGTGGTAGAACAGAGAGGGACAGAGTAAGACCTGGCCCACTGGAGGGTCTCGAATCTGCTCCAGAGAATAAAGACCCTTTCCCAGACTGCGCTCCAGCTCCAGCACAATCACTGGACACGTGGAGTCACCTACTCTGGTTAGGGAAAGAACGTGTGGTGGTGG